ATACAAGTGTGTTGCTACCATCCTCCAGCCTAGAAACGCACATCCTCACCCATTGAGCAGTGGTTTCAGCAGCTGGAGCTCGTAGCCTCAGCAGCAGCTGCTGTTCTCTGTGCACACATTTGGGAATGGGAATGGATATAAGCAGTGAGAAAATAGTCTTTCTTTAAGTCATATTATATATAATGAGCACATTTTACACAGGAACTGTGAACCTCAGTCACAGTACAGATACTTACCCAGTGAACACAGATACCATGGGACCTAATTCAGTGACCACAAGAATACAAAGGTGCTGAGAAACATTTCTAGATGTTAAAGGACTCTGTACATGTAAGTAATGCCTAAAAAACAGTATCACTCAGTACTGGATGATAGTGTGGTTTATAGAAATCAGATTAAAAGGGAGGAGGGGGAATCTCTCCCGGTATGAATTTAAATGTTCACGAGCACATCGCATTGCATTCTTCAAGGTGAGTTCTTGTTGAGTGCTGGTGTGAGGGATTGATTAGAAAAAAATCTATTTCCGCTGTTCAACGGCTGGTAAGTAGAGGGCATCAATTTAAGATCATTGCCAAAAAACAGGGATAACTTAGGGGATTTTGTTTAACACACCGGGTTATTAGGACATGGGAATGCTCTATGGAAAATTGATGATTACAAGAGAATACACCCTAGCTTTTAAAAAGGAATCAAACAAATATTTGAAAAATAAGAATCTTAATAGTGTGCAGGGAACAGGCAGGGAGATGATCTCAATCAGTGGTGGCCAACCTTTATGATCAGCCAACAAAATAAATGTTCTTGATTGAATATTTCTTGATTTATGCCATCAACCAAGCAATAGTCAGTCAAGAAAAAACTGAAAACACACGATCGATCGATTGAACGCGGACTTACCTAGACTAATGCGAATGTAGTGGGGGGGAATGGGGAGGAGAGCGCTTCTTGACAGCACCGGGAGACTACCATGACCATCCCACAGTTTCGGGTAGCAGCACAGACTTAGAAGGTTGAATTATCTTTCCTTCAATTTACCTGGAATGTACAGTATGGGAACAGGCCATTCAGTTCCACTCGTCTGTGCCAGTGTTTATACTCCACATGAGTCGCCACCCACTCCTTACTCGCTCCCTCCCATACCCTTCTATTATTTTCTCCCTGATCTGTATATCTAGCCTCCTCTTAAATGCATCTATGCTATCTGATTCAAACATCGTTTTGGCCAGTGAGCTCCACAATCTCACTACCCTCTGAGTGTGGTGGTTCCCCCCCTAAGTTCTTTTTAATAAACACTTGTCACTATCTTATACTTTTATCCCCTGGTTACAGACTCCCCAGCAAGTAGGAACAGTCTATTTAGGCTAACCTCATCGAACCCTTTCATAATTTTGAATGCTTCGATCAACTTTGACCTTTCCTTTTGTTTTTTTCCTGTCATTTTTACTTCCCACGCAATTCAACATTTATAGAGCGCCTTTCGTATCAGGAGGACATCCCAAAGCTGGCACCTGAGCCGGAGCTTGGGAGCTGAGGTGGGTGGGTGAGGATATAACCACGTATTGAATGAGAAATAATAATAATAATATAATCCTTGCATTTGATATAGCGCTTTTCACGTTTCCTTGACATGACATTTCTAAAGTTGCAGCAGCTCATGAAACCCTTGTGTTCCACAAGGCATTGGTTAATCTCTATCAGTACATATATTAATAATTCTTGCATTTGATATCACGCCTTATCACGTCTTCCAGACGTCTCAAAGCACTTCACAGAAAATACTGTAAAGTGAATTGGTTGTATCTATTGTGGGCGAAACGCAGCAGCTAATTGCGCACAGTAGTGTCCCACAAACAATCATGGATTGAGTGACCGAATTATTTTTTTAAAAAGGGTTATTATTGTGTGGAGTCCTGTAGCTCAGTGGTTAGAGCATTCGTCTTGCACCGAGACACCTGGGTTCAATTCCAGGCAGAGGGCGAACCTTGGGCAAGTTTCCTTACTCCACACAGAGCCTAATAATAATCCCTCCAAAACAAAACAATAATAAATTGGTCATTTTCAATTCACGACTGTTTGTGGGATGCTGCTGTGCGCAATTGGCTGCCATGTTTTGGCCACAAATATATAGTCAATTCACTTTACAGCATATTTTGTGAAGCGCTTTGAGACGTCTAGAAGACGTGAAAAGCGCTATATCAAATGCAAGGATTATTATTATTATTACCCCTGGAAAAGTGATCCGCTAATCAAATAACAACCGGGTTCCTACTTACTGCTAGGTAAACAGAGGCATGTAGAATAAGGAAACTTGTCCAACATTTTATCTTCATCCTCCTCAATCCTATTCCTAACTAGAAATCCTAACCGCTTTTTGAACACGACAATGTCATCCTTTGTTCAGGATCGTTGTGGCATTTTAACTTTGTTTCTTTTGTATATTTTTAATTTTTGTCTTTAATGTGCATTTCAGTCCACCAGACTGCAGTTAAGAGCTTCTGTGTTTTTCTATTTTGACTTTCATTAGACCAGCTTGGCATACTCAGGATTTGTCCGTAAGCTAGTGTATGACTTTTTCTCACTAAAGCTATCCAGGCTGATGATTCTTACACTTGTTCTGTGACTGTAACCATGCATGGTTAATGGTATCAAACCTATTTGCAGAGCAACACGCTCAAAGTAGTCTTTTGGGTTTCAGATTATATATGTAGGAAGTATTGAACAAGAAAACATCATCCAGCTCATGCACTTGCTCCTGCTACACACTATTAAAGTTACCTTATCAGACTTCATCTTGGCATAGGAACACGATGTGGCCAGCTTTGCCTACAGATATACAGTCACTAGACTCTACAGTACAATCCCATGGAGTACTTTGATATGTTTGACAATGTGATAAATGCACTATATCAAATGCAAGGAATATGTGTTACTATGGCATGAACAACAACAACCACCATTTATATAGAGCCTGCCATGCGTGTAGCAACTCAAAGCACTTAACAGCGATGTGGCTTGATGCCGAGCCAGGAGGAGAGGGGAGGTGATCGAAGGCACTGTTGAAGAGGAAAGTTTTCAGGTGTGATTTGAAGACAGGCGTGGAGGGAGCAAGCGGAGGGGTTGATGCAGGTAGTTCCAAAGAACAAATGTCAAAGAGGCAAAATGCACAATTTTGGGTACCAAACATAAGAGGCTGACCTTTTTATCTAAAAACCTTACCTCCAATTCTTGCAGCTTCTGTTTTTATGCATTAGTTCTGGGAACAATCGCTTATAAATTGTAGCTAATAAAACTAAATTAATTAGAAGTTAAATTCAAATTCAGTTGGTAGAATGGAAAATGCATTAAAAAACTGCAAATAATAAGAAAGGTATTTTCTGTAAACTAAAAAGGATTTCATGTTTTATTCATTGCTGCTATATATGTAAGAGATAAATGATCTAATGAATGACATAATGTGAATAACAAAGAAGGAAAAAAACATGTTTTTTTGATACAGTGCCTGCCTTATGATGTTGAAATGGGTCTGTTTAGGAGGTGGTTACTTGTGCCAGGAAAGCGCTTCAAGCAGCCTTGAAGTGAACGACCATTTGATCTAGAGAAACAATAATATAATAACAATAATAATCCTTGCATTTGATAAAGAGCTTTTCAAGTCTTCTCACCGTCTCAAAGCGCTTCACAGAATATACTGTAAAGTGAATTGACTGTATATTTGTGGGCGAAACATGGCAGCCAATTGCGCACAGCAGTGTCCCACAAACAGTCGTGGATTGAAGTGACCAATTTATTATTTTTTTCTTGAGGGATTATTATCAGGCGTGTGGAGTAAGGAAACTTGCCCAAGGTTTCGCCCTACCGGTAATCAAACCCAGGTCTCTCGCTTGAGAGGCGAGTGCTCTAACCACTGAGCTATAGGAGTTTCTAATAATAATAATCATTGCAATCATATATTATCCCTTGTCACGTTGAAGTGTCTCAAAACACCTTACAAAGTTGTCTGTAAAGTGTAGTGACTGTGACGAAAAAACAAACCAATAAAATCAAAATGTCACAGGACTGACCATGTCTGCGTCACTCTGACCCATGTGAAGGGCGCTATGTAAATGCAAATTGTTGTGGTCTGCATTCTATACATTAATTGCAAATAAAAGTTAGCCCTGCGCACCAATGCTTGATATAGTTACCAGAGTTCGATTTGTTCACTTGCCAAAAAGGCAAGCGTAGAGGAAGACGTTGGCGAAAGTTTGCTTTTGAACTGTTCATAGTTTCTGTTAGAGTGAAGTCAGACTTTCCATAAAAAAGTCCATATCCTCTCCTGAAGGTAGCATACTTAAGTTTTTGTTTTTCTAAAGTATTTGCCAGAAGTCTCCTTGATGGGAAAGTCCATAGAATGCTAATGAACGAAGGTGCTTCACAGCCTGAAAACACCTGTAAATTATTCAATGTTTCTTGAGAGAGAGTGCGAGAGCAAGAACACATTCATTTCAGTCGCTGGAGCAAACTGTGGCAGTCATTTGTTTCCTTTCGGGACATTGTTCATTACTCAGTCCACTCAGAGGAAACCAGAGAAGTTAATTTTTGAACCAAGCAAAATCTTAACACAATTCCTGTGTACCTTTAAATTTTAAAGCATTGCTAATTGTAGAGTGTAAAGGCTGGGCTGGTATGGAACAGATAAGATACAACGGGGTCGGTAAGGTAAAACAGCTGTTGGCTACTTAAATGGCATCAGTCTCTTGCAGTGCAAGAAGGTTAGCAGTGCTATAACACAGTTGTTGCAGAGCTGAATAAAACAGAAGGCACTGAGCTCCCCAGGGTTCTCGTCCTCGTGCAACAAATTCAGATTTATTTCCCTGCCTGGCATTGTTGTCTCTGGTTTGCATTTTACGAGCTTGCAGGAAGTTATTTGTGCAAATTAGAATCCATGCATTCAGTGATGGAGAAATCCGTATCCTCAGCAATGTAACAGATGCTGAAATCTTGGTCTTTTTGTCTCTCAGAGCTTACCCAGGTGTTGTCTGATCCTGCCAGTTACAATAAAGCCTTTCAGTGTTCCAGTCCTGGCAGTCTAGAAGTGATTGAGAGGTCTGATGAGAGCAGCAGCAAGCAAACCAGCGGAACCGAGCATTCTGTCATGGCTGCAGGTAAGAAAGAGCAATACCTCACACACAAACATCTGCATGTTGCCTTTGTTCTCACTACAATGTGCCATGAGTATTTTTTCCATTGAACAGTCGTGTTTTGCAGGCTTGGCATTAAATCTGCAGACCAGTTATTTCCAGTGATTAGTTCTTGCTCTGTTAGGCTCTCTCAGCTGGTTGTTTTAAAATGGCCACTTCTGTAACAAGCAGCAGTTCAGAAACGGTGTAATAGTACTTGATTATGTGATGTTTAATACATAAATATAGGGATAAATAATTAACGTTTTGGAAGATAGGAACTGTTACAGTCTCTGCCTAATTAGTGGTGTGGAGACTTGTGTGTGGAATGGTTCGGGCATGCGGTTTGGTGCCATCTAGTGGGCACAGGTTTGTTTTTGTACAACACGTGGGGAGACAGAGGAGCAGTGGGGTTGTTAGTGCTTTGCGGACTGCTCTTTTCAAATGAATGTGCTGGGGTTACATGGTGGGCCTCCAGCACCAAACGGCACAATTCACAGAGGCTACCATCCTACTGCAGCACCAAATAATAGACGCCCTGGTGTCGATGTCCTCCGCACAAGAGGAGTGGAATTGAATTACTACATTGGAGCAGTTGGCTGTAATAGGGGTTCTGGGGCTGCAGTGTGCCAGCGCATTAACATTCTACATTGTATAATGAATGAGAAGATGTGGGCTATGCCACATGGAAAGTTTTCAGAGGGACAAGACGGGATGGGAAGGGGGGGCGGTAAACAGGACTTTGCGTGAACCATTCTCACAACAAGCGCTGTCCATTTGGCAAATAATGGCAGTGGAATCACAAAAGAATCTGGGACTAACTTGGTTTGACGCAGTACAGCGCTGAGGTCTCATAACTCCGAGTGATGTATACAAAGATTCCTTGAAGGAAATGTACTTTACGTTCCGAGGCACTTTTCTGTCGTCGAGGCACCTCTCACACCCCTGTTTCATCAGTGAGCACGTTTTCAGCCTTCATGCGTAAAACGTGATGTTTTACTGTCTTTCTCTCAGCTGGTTGACCTGCTGTGGATTTTCGGCATTCTCTTGTTTTGGTTCAGATCCCCACCATCTGCATTTTCCCTTTTATGTCGCAGTGTATGATTCATGTGGCAGCAGAAGGCACTTGATCAGTTCAGATCAGAAGCTATCCGTTTGAATTGCTGTGGCTGTGTGATCATTGAAAGTCAGAGCTGAGAGTGCCCCAAGTAATTAACATTGGGCAAGAAGTTTTATGTAACTACTGCCACAGAAATGATCACTCTTAATATGTCACAAAATTGTCTAAGAGGTGGCCAAATAGGGTTAAATGTTTCAAAAGCATTAAATTAATAATAATAATAATAATAACAATTGTTGCATTTGATATAGTGCCTTTCACGTCATTGAGACATCTAAAAATGCTTCACAGAATATATTGTAAAGCGGATAGATTGTGTATTTTGTGGGTGAAACCCGGCAGCCAATTGCGCACAGCAATGAACCACAAACAGCCATGGAGTAAGTGATCACTTTTACTGTGGGATTGTTGGCAGATAGGACCTTGGTTTAACATCTCATCTGAAGGATGGCACCTCCGACAATGCAACATCCCCCATGACTGCATTGGAGTATCTTAGACTATATGATTCCAAGTCCCAAGGTGGGGCTCGAACACACAACCTTCTGACGCAAAGCTGAGAGTTTTACCACTGTGGCAGGCTGACATATGTGTTATAATAATAATAATAGAAAGCTGTTAAAATAACATTGGAATTCCTAACATCAGCATTTTTTTTGTTCACATTTCATGTTTCCAGTTTCACTGCTATATGGGTCCAGACGTCCTTTCCCAGGACAACCACTGCTGGTGCCAGTCATGCTTGGCAGAGGGCCTTAGGTGCTGGGTCCGTGCATCTGTTCAGTTCTGTCACGCGAGATGAAATTCAGGAAACATTGTAAAAAGTTTGACAGGGTCTAAAAATAAAAGTATGGAAACATAAAGGTGTCATTATATACCGAGTTTATTAGATGTTTTAATCCCAGTGTCATGCCCTTTCTCCATACCTGCTAAAATTTCTTTAAAAAAATGCTTGCAAAGGGAGTTATAGTCCTGTAGTGTTTGTGACAGTGCACCTCAATCTACTGACCCATGTACAATAACTGTGGTACCCGAGCCTGCTGTAGATGAAAGCTGTGCACAGTGATGGCGTGAATATATGTGGTTCAGACACTCTGCTTTCAAATTGAACGACTAAGGCAATGCAATTAAAGGTTTGAAACAACAACTCGCACTTATATAACTCCCTATGCACGAGGTAGCATCTCAGAGCGCTTAACAGTGGTGGAGCCTGACTCTGAGTTGGGGGGGGTGGGGGGAAGGGGTGGAGGTGGCCGTAAGCACAGAGGTTTTCAAAAAGGGGAGAGAGGGGACAAGGTGGAGGGATTGAGGGAGAGTGATCCAGAGTTTCGGGCGTAGTGGCTGAAAGCTCGACCTCCAATGGTGGGGCGGAGGGTGCGAGGGACGAGCAGGAGGTCGGTGCCAGACGTCACCGAGCGGAGGCGCCGGGTGGTGGATCGAGGAGTGAGGTGATCGGTGAGGTAGGGAGGTGCCAGAAAGTGAAGGGATTTGAACGCAAGTGAGAGGATCTTGAAGTCGATCCATTCGGTGATGGGAAGGCAGTGGAGCCTGGCCAGAACTGATGAATTGTTGGTACGGAGTTTGCTCCGGGTAAGATGCCTAGATTGCGCACAACTGCATATATTATGGGGCCGAAATAAGCAGGTGTAATTCTCAGCAAATTTAAACAGCCATCACAAATGTAATCCCAAGATCACAGGGAGGTTCAGATGGAGAAAACCCTTCGACACATCTGATCTCATCCTTCCAGAGTCCTCAGTCTCCTATTCCCCCATCAGAGCATCAAGTTGTTTTTTTTAATGAATTCAGTATCCTGGCCTCAACCAACCCTCTCTAGTCATATGAAGACTATGTACATTTTAGTTTCTATTCCAATGTTTTATTCTTACTTGACTGCTTTGTTCCATTCAAGCTCAGAAGGAAACATCAAAAACAAATGGCAAACCCAGAAAAAACATTGTGGAGAAATGGGCACTTACTGTTAAATCAATATACATCTGGCTCAGTTGGTAACATTCTCATATCTGAATAAGGAGGTTGGGAGTTCAAGCCCCAAGTCAGGTCTTCCAACTCAACAGTCCAGGATGAGTTGCTGTGGGAGCACTGCATTATCAGAGTTACTATTTTTCATCTAAGACATTAAATCAAGGTCCTGTCTGCCGCATCAGTTGAATAGGATCCAGTGGCACAATTTGGTCACTCACTTCATTGCTGTTTGTGGGACATTACTGTGCGCAAAAATTGTTCGACTACAAAATACACAGTCACTAAGTTTTTACAGTAAATCCTATGAAGCATTTTGACATCCTTCCAACATAAAAGGCGGAACATCAAAGCAAGGATTATTATTATTATGATCTGTCGATTCACAGACTGAAATATCTGTCCAGTTTGTCTCATGGCTTTCAAATATTCATTGCATATGTATGTGGTGCTGAGCTTCACTTGCGAGGTGAAGGAGGTGGGAATTTCTATGCATTTGTAATTCCAGGCCATTAGATGCTTGAAATTCAAACATTTCTGGCCCATGAGACTATCTTGTCTCAAGATTTAAGATGGCACCGAATTGTAGAATATTTTTACATCCAGTCTTAATTGAAAGTCAAGTTTTACGTAGTTCTAGAAAGGAAAAAAAAACAGTTTCTGAATTAAGATTGAAGTAAGAATTTTCCACAATTCTGAGACCTCTTAAATCTTAAGAGAAAATGGTCTTACAGGCTAAGACTAGGAAGATGTTCAGGCCATAAATGTCCAAATTTGCATTTGAAAACCAATGGGGAACAATTATCAATGTATGTGATCGAAACTCTGCCATTCTTAAACTATTAGTTTACTTCCTGAGGAAAACCTTTGTTTTTGATTTGTAAAGCAGACAGAACTTGGGGAAAAAAACAATTTGTGGAATGGCCTCAAATATTCCTGCATGAGTGAATTGTTGTTAGTCGTTTACTTTTACCATCTCTACTACCCAAATGTTAGTAGCGGAACTGGCAAAAAGGCCGGGAGCAAAGTCGCTTGATATAAACTGTTGCGAACACCACCCAGCTTCAACAACACAACAACAACTTTCTTTATTTGCCGTCCTTCACGTGGGGTAGTGACCCGGAAATCTTCATATCCTCTGCACCATCTGCCCCACCATTAACATGGGGATCGAACCTGACAGCTACAAATCAGGCTCCGAATCCAGCAGCAAAATGGCACAGCCTAGCCTTTTTAAAACATGTTGTATTTAATCATTTACTCACAGCCAAACTTTTGCAAAAGGACTGTTCAGTGATAGAGCAGATCCCCAAGAGTGATTAAAAAGTCAAAATTCTCGAGCTTGCTATGACAATTCATTATTCCCTTCAAATATGCAGATGTTTCATAGTTCCATTGATTTTGTTATACAACTTGTGCATTGGCTTCCTAACTATAATAACTCTTAAGAGAGAGGTAGATAATTATTTGGGGAGGACGAGATTGCAGGGCTATGGGGAGAGAGCGGGGGAATGGAATTGATTTGGGTAGCTCTTTTCAAAGAGCTGGCACAGACACGATGGGCCGAATGGCCTCCTTCTGTGCTGTACAATTCTATGATAATTCTCAATTCTCAGAACATACAGCAGATTCAGAGCAGCTTCACGGCAAACCAAACTCTTGAGTAGAAACAGAGTCAGAATGTCTGGTGTAATAACCCGTAAAGGCAGCCCTTCAAACAGCAGATATTCATGGTAATTTAATAATAATAATAATCCTTGCATTTGATATAGCGCTTTTCACGTCGGGAGGATGTCCCAAAGCGCTTCACAGAACACACTGTAAAGTGAATTGACTGTATATTTGTGGGCGAACGCGGCAGCCAATTGCACACAGCAATGTCCCACAAACAGTCGTAGATTGAAAATGACCAATTTATTATTGCTTTTGTTTTTTNGGAGGGATTATTATTAGGCTCTGTGTGGAGTAAGGAAACTTGCCCAAGGTTTCGCCCTGACCTGGAATTGAACTCAGGTCTCTCGCTTGCAAAGCGAGTGCTCTAACCACTGAGCTACAGGACTCCACAATTTATTGAGGTGTGCTTGATCCTGATGTGATGTGAAGACAAGATACTTAATAAACTGTTGCAAGTCATTTTTCCCGTGAATTACAAATCTTTTTTGTTTGTTTTTCTTTGTAAGATGCATCTCCAAGGATCCATGTTGCAAAAAGAGAGCAATAGGCACGATAAGAGGAAAAATACCAGGAAAGTAATCTGACCGCTCTTACAGAATAGAGATTGAAAAATGTGGAGATGCACAGATGTCTGATTTTCAGGAGAAAAAAAATTAAGCGAGATAATATTCCAGCGATTTGTAAATCTGAGAATTCTCAAAAAAAACACGATTATTAAGTGTTGCAAAAAAACCACATTTGACTACTAGAAACAGACAGGTGTCGGGGGAATGGTGCATTCATTGTTTCCTCGTAGCTGTGCTGAAATGAGTCGAGGGATCTCTGCTCTCCTCACCATTTCTCACCAAGCTCAATTACAGTTAATTCTGGGAAGCCTCCTCCATCAAAATCCCCCAATGCCAGGAAAACACACAATTTATGCCTGGTGCTGAGATAGATTCCCATCACTTTCGCTGGTTTACTCACTGCATTTTAAAATGACTGCATTGAAACAACATATCAAAACATTTACCCAAAAAGTATAATCAGCGCATTTAAAATATCTAGCAATATATTTTGGCTTAACTGGTATTCATTTATATTCAGAGCTGTCCCACTCCTAGAAGCTGTGTGTGCTTTTTATTAACGTAATCCAATTGTCCTTTTTGAATTCAATTAAATAAACTGAGGACAATACAGCATCACATTTCAGAAGAAAGAGCAACTCAATCTCAACCAAATACTAATTAGAAGCCAAATACTAACCGATTTGTCACAGCCATTTAAAGAAGATAATTTTGTTTAATTGATAGTTTTATGAAAAAATGGCCATTCATTTGGTTCGTTCTCCTTGCTCTGGATCAGAAGACCATGGAATCAAACACCACAGCAGGACCTGGGTGTGTAATGAGGCTTAGTCCAGTGCGTACTGAGAGAATATTACACTATTAGAGGCACATTCATTTATGATAATTCTTGCATTTGATACCTATACCAGTGTTAGAGAAATAAACTACGAGTAACAATTAGGCAAGCTAGAGCTCTTCAGCCTTGAAAAGAGATGTCTCAGAAGCGACCTTGTAAAGGTATATCAAATTTTAAATGGGATTGAAGAAGTAAACCCAGAACAATACTTTCAGATGCACCAAGACAGTAGAACAAGAGCACATACGTAGGTTTAGAGTTGCAAAGGATAAGTTCAGGATAGACATCAATAAATATTTCTTCACCCAGAGATATAACAGGTTAACATACACAATAGGGTGGTTGAGACCAGAATCGTGGTCTAATTTAAAAAAGAGAGCTTGATGGAAAGACTGCAGAGTGGGTATTCTAAAATGATGAGCTCAGACTTTCAGAAGGGCTTTCTTCACCTGGACAAACTTATGATACTTTGAAGTTGTGATCTTATAAATCAAATGACTTCCAATATTCGTAAAGTGAAAGATGCAACTAATGCAATGAAGCTGCTTTATGGATCTGGTAGATTGGACCCCAGTGGTACAATTTATCATTATTGATCAGCTGAATGAGCGAAACACTCAATGAATAGATAAATATCAATAAATAGATTATGAAGGCTTCACTCTGTCACCTTAACAGCAGTAGGGCATTCCTGCAATTACAGCCAAGCTGCTCTGTGATTATTGCATTCAGTTAAAGGTTTAAACCACTGTTGAATCAAGTTGTCGAGAAAAGATTAATTGAGCTGCACATCGGCTGAGAACATCTTTTTGGTGTTCCCGAGCTCCTCAGAGATCACAGGACATGGATTTCCGTGTATGTTGTGATTAGAACCCATTCAGGTGGACCCTGGAAGCATTGCAGATCACTTGCGCAGAAAAAGTTACTAGGAGCCTCCTTTATCATGACTCTATAATGTATTGCACAAACTGACCTGTGAGAGAATAGTTTTGTAGGGAAGAAACGTGTTGCTCTGAGGTAGTTTTTCAGTTCTATAAGAGTGAAGTTAGTGCCTTGAGGACCTTGTGGATGGCCACAATGTTCAGCGATAGAGAGCAACTCGTTCTGGCAGCACCACACTGAAAAAGAGACTAGTTCCTTCTACAGCAGTCAGATAAATTGCTTTGCTATTTAAGCAAGAAACAGGGTAAAATCTAATTGCTGCATAGTGCAGTTTACCAACTACTGTAAGCTAGGGAAATGTGTAATCAATAAAGATGATTTCCTGTGAAATGCTTTGAGACATCTCAATGGCATGATATTGCTCTGTATCAAATGCAAGGATTATTATTATTATTTGATTATATTATTTACAAGTGATAACAATTACTGGTTCAATCGTGGTGTGAATACAGAGAAAATACTACAATAATAGTACAGCGTTCAATGCCTCTGAATGTATGTTTGAGCAATAAGATATGAAACCAAATGGATTTTTATATGCACAACAGATGCAGAATATTTTTTGTCTTCCAACAATCTATTAAGCTTAATTTTATTCAATAATAAGAAGAATCCTTGAATTTGATATAGCGCTTGTCACGTCTTCTAGATGTCGCAAAACGCTTCACAGAATATTCTGTAAAGTGAATTGATTGTATGTTTGTGGGTGAATCGCGGCAGACAGTTGCGCACAGTAATGTTGCACAAACAGTCATGAGCAAATTGAGTGACCAAATTATTATTAATTGTCATTATTTTTTTTGAGGGAATATTATCTCCGGAAAAATGATCCGCCAATTGACTAACAACCGGGTTCCTACTTATTGCTAGGTAAACTTCCTCTTACAGAGCTCAGTAATCCCATTTTCCATCATGTGGTAAGATTCCAGTTTTATTACGATGAAGCATTGTCATGAACATTAGACAACCATTACATTTGTTATGTAATATATATTTTCACCTACAAAATATACAGTCAATTCACTTTACAATATATTCTATGAAGCGCTTTGAGACGTCTGGAAGACATGATAAGGCACTATATAAAATGCAAGGATTATTATTACTATACTTAAGCAAAAACTCAGTCAGACACAGAACATCAAGTCCAACGTCTCAACAGGGCAGCACCACATACACAACTGTTTGTGAGATACTGCTGTGTGCAATTGGCTGCCACGTTTCGCCCACAAAGTACACAGTCACTACACTTTACAGAGTATTCTGTGAAACAGCTTGAGATGTCTCAAAGATGTGATAAGGCGCTATATCAAATGCAAGGATTATTATTTGCTCTGGCATTTATTTATCTTTCTGCTCTGCATACTGCTCTCTCCCATCCATTGGGTGTTACCTGGTGCCACACAGCATCAAGGTGATGAGAAGTCATTCTCTTTTCAAAAACAGCATCAGACTTCTCTGTGATGCGCCTGCAATTGAATAATCCCCTGACTTTCATGAGTCACATGTAAATAATAGCCACTTGTTTTGGTGGTAGAAGCTAACCAGCACCCATGGAAATTGAACCAAGTCATATGAAAAAGGTGTCGGATACTATTAGGCGGTGGGGAGGAGGGGGAGGGAGAATATTTGAGAGGATAAATTGACAGAGAAATAAATACCATGGGATAGATAGGCAGCAAGCTACCTTCTACAATACAAACTGGCTTCCTCTGAATAGCTGTGTCGATGGCTTTTGTGGTAGTAATGGTAACAGAGTGCTTGACATAGCAGCACGTACGGAACATCATTTTTGTATTTGCCCCAGACTCAAATGCAATTGTCCCAGCTCAAACATCAGTTGCATTCTTGAGTCTGAGGGAAGATTTGACTTATACTTCTCTTACCTAAAGTATTTTTTTTACAACAGATGGTTTGGAAAGCATAGTCATAGACCCCAGTCAGATCAGCATGTCTGTGACTGACACAGCAGCGTGGACCACTGCAATGAGCAACCTGGGAATAGCTCCAGTGAGACTTGCTGGGCAACCATTGGTATCAGGTGAGCATTGTAAAAGTAGCTGTGAGATCTGAGATGCATTGTTCGGCACTTGATAAGTATGCAGTCCACATACCACATCTCCTTCAATGCTGGAAAAGACCTTTCAGTTTATACTTCGTGCATCATACAATTTTATACGATTAGTTATAGAAACAATCCTTGTAGGCTGAAGAGGCTTTGTAAAACTCCTGTGGAAGATTAATTATTTTGCAGTATGCACAGAGTAATACAAGGTACAAAGCAAGGGTTTGTGAAAATTAACCATCGAATGGCTGCGACTGTACAACTTGTGCGGAGGCACATTGATCATTAGATTCTGTCAGATTCTGTCCAAAAGACTCCTTTTTATTGATAAGAATTCTTGCATTTGATAAAGCATTGTATCACATTGTTAAAACATCTCAAAGCACTTCACTGTGCAGTGTTGTGACTATGTATTAGTAACTTTTGTAACTCACTGTTGTGTAACTTGTATTTTGGTTATGTGATTAATGTTTAATTTTCTGTGTTGCTTTTATGGAAACTAATTACACAGATTGAGACCTTACACAGATTGAGACCTGTTTGGTTCACAGACTAATTGGTGTAGATGCCTTCAGGACCTGTAGTACTCCAATGCCACCAAAAGCTTCCAGGTGCTGTGTGACACCTAGCATAAATCAATGCTGCCTGTAAGCACACCACTCACTGTACAAGTGCGTCCAACTGTATTTTAAACGCAACCCAGTTAGACTCAGCAACCAATTAACTCTTCTTTTAGAAATTAAAGTAAATGAAAGCTTTGAAGTTTTTCCAATGATATTTTGATTCAATTTAATTTTCTTTTTAATTTCTCATATTGGCGTTTTTCAAAATACTCGTATAGTTTTATGTCTATGGATTGTGTTTTCCCGTTTCCAACGTTCATCATTCTCCCAGTTCGGGTCGGACTGAATTGTGGCTACATCTGTCTCTTATGAAATGATGTCAGCAGAATGCATTGCCAGGAACAGCTTGAGTTGTTTTGGTGCTGCACATATGTTTGATTTCTGTCTGATTCCTGTGTAATAGCATTACCGCATCAAATATAACCACATGCACTAGGTTATAAATTAGATTGAGAGTATTTTAAAAGTATAATTCATTGTTTTGGGAGGGGTGGGGGTTATAATTAAAAAGTAGCTGATTTCTTGAATTAGCCATTTCCATTAAACGATCAACTATTCTGCCTCAGCTGCGCTAGGGGACAACTTGTTAATGCTTGAACTGAAATGGGAAGTGTCACTTAACAAAAAAATGCTCAGATTTCCTGTTGAAATGTAGAGCGTTCATCATTGATTTTTTATGAGAAACTGGATCCACCCTGATTTGAAAGGATGAAGAGATGAGTTCCAATGCGTGCAATAATTTCTGGATTCGTTTCATATCGCAGGGTTACTTTTTCTGAATAATACTTCCAGTGGAGGAAACCTATCTTTCCAAATATTAATTTGGTGTACAAAGTGAATGTGATATGGCTGCTGCAGTTTTCTGTGACTCAACACATTTTTTACTTCTCCATTGGGTTATTTCCAACAGATCAACTTCAAGATCCTTACACTTGTGTTCAAATTCCTTCACTCTTTGGCACCTCCCTACCTCTCCGACTTCCTCACTCCCCAATCCACCACCCAGCGCCTCCGCTCGACTGATACCGGCCTCCTGCTCATCCCTCGCACCCTCCACCCCACAATCGGAGGTCGCGCTTTCAACCCGTACACCCCGAAACTCTGGAACACTCTCCCTCAATCTCTCCACTTTGCCCCCTCTCTCCCCTTTTTCAAGTTTCGCCTGAAAACCTTCCTTATGAAAAGAGTTAGTGAGAGGGCAAAATAATCGTTAAAAAAATAGGGATTTGATGGAGTTAAAACCAAAGCTGGTTTTAAAACCATAAAGATCTTAGGAGGAAGGGAAATCCAAAGGTGTTAAGGACTTCCCCAGTTTAAAGGGTCTGAGAAGGAATGAACCGTATGGGGATCTGTGAAAATGCACCAGGACTTAGTGGCTTTAGGAGTGTTGGAGCAAAACCAAATGTTTCACCCCTGTGTAGATGGTAAACGCCTGATCTTGTGAAAATATCAAGAGCAGATACAGCTTGAAGGTCAATTTCATCCAGATTGGCCAGGGCTCACTTGAAAAACGTCTCGATACTGTAATGAAAGGACAGTCGGATGGGTATTCTGGATGAAGTTTCTTCATCCCAACCTCTCCTGCGATCACATGCGAAATCCAAAGAGGAGAACCCTTATGCAGTTATCAATGTCCTCCACAGTATCCAAATCAGGAACAGTTCTGAGTGTGGTCTGTGCTGATAAAACCCTTGCCAATGTTTGAAATTAAGCCCTTCTGCACATTTAAATTCTCTGGCTTTTTGTACTTCAATGAAAAATTTCAAAGACGTGATATTCATGTAGCATGAGAAAGGGAAAACGCAAGAGTTCCAGCTAAATATGTTGGCATCCATTTGCAAGAAATCTGTTTATAAATTAACCTCATGTAAGCAAAGCGATTCCAACACTCAAGCCAAATCTAGCACTGCTACAATGCTTTATTTCATAGATTATAATTTTGCTGAATTAGGGGGTGGAAATGTCCACCTAGCTAAAAGCCCTGTAATATGTTCACATCTGATATAGTGCTGTTAGCATTATACAATAAAAAAGGCAAATATACAGCTCTCCACTGGCTTAGTTAATAAGTTCACTACTAGGTGCGAAATTCACAAACGTCAGTCAGGAAGGGACAGTTTCATTTTAACTGATTTTAGCCTGGGTGGCAGTAGGGGCGAGACATTTAGTCTCAGTTGGAATGGAATAAAAGTCCCCAACATAAGTTAATGGCTTTAGGAGAGAACATGCGCAAGTAGATTGACAGACCAAGAATAAGAATTAAGGCCACAATAAAATGAAATATTAATCTGTGTTTGCAAGGCAGTATGTTTCTGCAAAATAGAAACTGGGGGAAATAATTACATTATTTTTATTTATAGCTTGAGCATTGTTTGTTGCTAAGAATGCCTGACGTAGCTAATAAATAATGTACAATGTTTGAAGTTATACTATCAAGACTATCCTTGTGTCTCTAGATCCCATCTGTGTGCCAGGCTTTGATCACGGCCTAGGAATAATGACTGGAATGACGACAGTAAACCCTATGATGACTGGAATAGGCTTGTTGCCCCCACCAGTTCCCCCGGAAATGCCAGTCATGAAAGAAATTATTCACTGCAAAGCCTGCACACTCTTTCCACCAAACCCAAGTAAGTCTTGAAAGTCATGAGTAAATCTACAAGTTCTGGTTTCTGTGAAGAGGAAGGGAAATCTCAAGAAATAGTATATTCTGAACAGTTTATGGGTTGTTCCATTCAACTTCCATTTGTTCCTTAATGGTAAGAACAGACTGGAGTGACTTTATTCCAAAGGCACATAAGATCACTGTTAATGTGGGATCTGATTGTCAGTAGCCCGATAACATTTGCTTCACATGCCTCACGTATACACTGGACCATGTTTTGTTGGTTACTGTCTGAAGTATTTTACTTGTACGTGCTTAGCTTGGGAACAATTGACACAAGTGCAAGAGTGAATTACTGCAAAGAGTTTTTTTGTTGCAACTATTGGCTTGTTCTTTGAGGGAATTGGCTGAAATGAGAACAAATAAAGGTATAAAGGCAAAGGCCTTTCAATCCATCAAACTTGCTGCTTCCATCATGTATCCTGTTTAACCAATTTATTTAAGGTTTTCATTTTAAGGCTTCCTATCCTGTTCCCTCATACTGTTCGCATGAACAAGCTGGAAGATATTGGGATGCTTGGTCAAATTCTGGATCTCTTCTAGGATGAAAGCTCCAGCTCCAAGATCTATGCAGAAACCAATAGGTGAAGGGAGGGGAACCAAACCTATTCCTTTTGAGGTATCAATGGCCATTATCACCCACCCCATTCAATGTCTTCATTCAAGAATGACAAAGGGAACTTCTAAAGGAATTCCAGCGCGTCGTTTAGCTGACAAAGTTCTGTTGGAGGACTCATCTGGGGATCTGGTGTGCTCCACCAACCACCTTGAACAATGATTCCATACTTTTAGTCTTACATTTGATTCTTGCCGTTAAATCCTTGATTCTATTATGATGGACTTGAAGTAACAATCAAAATAAATTCAAGGGCAGATATTAAGAGGGATGTTTTTGATGCGTGAGATTTTCAGCTCTTTGTGAAAGCAAAAAGGAACGTCAGCCACTCTTGCTCTGTGAAAGAGTTCATCATACATTCCTCACAGATGTTGGCTAAAATTGTATATTTAGACATTATATATTTTCATCTGTAACTTCTTGGATTCAGAGGTGCACAATTTTCTGAAATTCTGACATTATTCGCTTAGCAATATTCTAAGACTTTTGAAATAGGTGGTCTATTACAATATCACATTGCACCCACGTGTGATATGTACAGCATTGTGTAAATAGCCGCTAGGTTAGTCTGATTTGTTTTCCTTGCCAATTTTTTCCCAGCAATTTCCTCCTGTCCAGCCTTTTTCTGAAGCGCTATAGCTCCACAGGTTTCAGTCTCTAGTATCTTATTCAGGAAGCTATTATCTATGTGGGAGCTTTGACAATAAGTACCAGAAGGTTATTCCATCATAAGAATGGGAACTGACACACAAGCAGTAGCTTATTCTCATACATAAACATCCTGCAGAGGTTGCAAGAAACCAGGTAGGAGCGGGAATACCGGCTGATTTCTCTCTTCCTAATCCAGTGTCCTCACAATCACCCCACTGACTGCAGCTAAGTCAACAACACAAGCTGAAAATTGAAGCTAGAAACGTCCTGATTTGTAAGTCTTAGCTACTCACTGCACAAACTCAATGAGCTAACAGAGAGAAGATTGTTAGATTTAGTCATCCTTTTGATAAGCACTGAGGAGAGAGAAATAGGAAATAAAATGGAAAATTTCCTAAAGTGTATCTCAGGGCATCAATTCCAGTTGATATTATCTAAATAATAAGAGGAGACAAAACAGAAGTTGTTATTTATTATATTGGGTTGGTTAAACCTGCCAATACTTGATACAGTTTTGTAGATAATGGAATGTGCAAGGCATTGCTCACAGAGCCGTGTTAAGTTTTCTTCTTTTGAGCAAGATTGTAGTTCTGAATGAAATACTCTTGCAGTTTTGGGACGGATCAGATTTAACATGTATTTTATTGCATCTCTAGATCTTCCTCCGCCAGCCACAAGAGATCGACCTCCTGGATGTAAAACAGTCTTCGTCGGAGGTTTACCAGAAAATGCTGCAGAAGAAATTATCAGAGAAGTGTTCGAGCAATGTGGGGATATTACAGCTATTCGCAAGAGCAAAAAGAACTTCTGCCACATCCGTTTTGCTGAAGAGTTCATGGTGGATAAGGCTATCTACCTCTCAGGTCTCTGTCTGGGATTTTACCTTGACCTCTGCTCACTCATACTTTGCACATATTGGAGCACAAAATGCGACATTGCTGATGTCATTATCAAATTGTCAGAAAATTCTGCCCCTGTAAACGTCTCTGTTGATATCTGAGCACTCCCCCCACCCCAAATGCATGTGTGATATGGTAGGGCTTGAGTTGCCCGCCACTGAATCTACTACCTCAATGACTACGCCATTTCTGGGCAAGAATTCCTCAGATACAATCAGAAACTTCATGGCTGTTTATGGAATATTACTGTGTGCAAATTGGCTGCTGTGTTTGCTTACAAAATACAGGCACTGCATTTCACAGAAACCTCAGTGAAGTGCTTTTTAATATTTTGCTGCTACAAGCGCTATATCAAATGCAACGATTATTATTATTTTCATTGACAAAATCCTCAGATACCAGCTCAGTGTTTAAAGTTAGCTTTCAAGTAAGAAGTTGGGGAAAAAAGAAATGGTAACATCACTAATCATTTCACCCAGCCACACTAGCACAATGTGAAAATTCTTCCCATAAAACAATGAACTTAATAATGTCATTTTTGCATTGCAAAACATATTTCCCTGGAAATTGACCTGAAAATAAAAAAGTTGGACCTTTATTTTCTGTTAGTGTAACAAAGGTGAGCCAACTAATTTATCTGGCAAATGTTCAGTCCTTACACCACTTATGTGGGTAAAGATGGTTAAGGAAGCAATTGTAATGCTAAACTCTCTCATTTGTTTGATTTATTTGTATCCAAAAGCTGGAATCAATATTCTGCTCCAAGCAGTGTTTACAACTGTCTCACTAAATGCTCTGAAAACAGTGGATGTTAGTTCATTAACTCAGAGCTAGTGTGCATAACTACATGACTCACTGACACTCTAAAGGACAACTCTTTGGGTAGAAATTTAATCATACATCCAACAGGCTGATCAAACCAAATAAGGTGCAAATACATTGTGTGTGTGTTACTGAGTGTTTGGGAAAATCTGGCAGTGTAAGTTTGACATTGTGGTTATAGGGAATGTTTGAAAGTTGGGGTCACTCCCTCCCTCCTCGGTTTCAAGGCACAACTCAAAACTTACCTCTTTGACCGCATTTTCAGCCATCTTCTCCCTCTCCACCTCCTCAGTTCCTAGATTACTGGAAATGTATGTAAATCTTAAAAGGGAAGCTGCTAATTAAATTGGCTCTTGGCCACATCAGCAACCATTAATGCACAGGCACAAATAATTGCTGTTAGAAATATGTCAGTTACAGAAGCGATTGCAAGTATAGTGCCGGGGCCTTAATTTATCCTGTAATAAAGGTCCAGAGTTGTCAACAGAAGGAAAATGATCAGAGTAGCATTTGTGTCCAGTACGAGTCCTGTAGCTCAGTAGTTAGAGCACTCGCCTTGCAAGCGAGACACCTGGGTTCAATTCCAGGCAGGGCGAAACCTTGGGCAAGTTTCCTTACTCCCCACGCCTAATAATACCTCCAAAACAATAATAAATTGGTCATTTTCAATCCACGACTGTTTGTGGGACACTGCTGTGCGCAATTGGCTGCCGCGTTTTGCCCACAAATATACGGTCAGTTCACTTTACAGCATGTTCTGTGAAGCGCTTTGAGACGTCGAGAAGATGTGAAAAGCACCATATCAAATGCAAGGATTATTATTGTTACGAGTGACTGGGGCAGCAAACCCATTAAACATGGGAGCGAGCTTTATCGTTTAAGAGTGACCGCCATCTAATTGATCCTCTCTTTTTAACTGGAGTGAGCCGTCGTACCTGTTAATGAATGAGAATTAATAGGTTGCACTAGGGCAGGGAAGGAAAGCCACAAAGGGAGCGTTGCTTGGCGAGTGATTTGACATTGGGTTTACTAAAAACAGCTTTGTTTGAGCAAATTAATAAGATTGAATACTTAGGGGTTTGGTCAGGCGAATAAAGTGATTGAACAATCGATATTCAGTGAACTGCTAATATTGTGGTTTAAGCACCAAGCAACAATTAACATCCGCAAAGAAGATTCAATATGTATTGAGTGTGGGCTCAAGCTTCATCCCTGGGCCATGGGCTCCAATGCAGGCAAGATGAGTAGACCGCAGCTGTGGATTGTTACCCCACCAGTGCCCTGACCTCGTTCTGTAGGTCACGCATTGGACTGTGACAGATGTAGCCACTCACTGTGGCATCTGTCATGCCAGATGATCTGCAAGAAAGTGGTGCCGACTGGGTAGGGAGGAGGGAAGCTACTGACACTCAAACAAAAAAAAATCTGTAAGTACAAGGGCACAATATAATCCCACTTTAAAAACTGTAGAAAATAAAACATATCATTCACTGAAATATAAACTGTGCATTTAACTACATACCCCTTAACGTCAGAGCGATCATTTAAATACCCAGGCAAAGGAGTTATACTGTTCTGCATATTTTACTGTTAAACCTTAAAACACAGTATATTGTTAAACCTTAAAATGACACTAGTTATTTAATGGATCTTACACGACTCTCTGCTCACCTTCAGGGTATCGCATGAGGTTAGGATCAAGCACGGACAAGAAGGACACTGGCCGCCTTCACGTGGACTTTGCTCAGGCCCGAGATGATTTCTACGAGTGGGAGTGCAAGCAGCGTACACTCGCACGAGAAGAGCGCCACAGACGAAAGATAGAAGAGGAGAAATTCCGGCCACCCTCCCCTGCACCTATTGTCCACTATTCAGAGCATGAGGCCAGTCTGATGGCTGAGAAACTCAAAGGTACCCAAGCAGTGTTAAACATCATTGTTCAAGGAGACAATATGTTCACTTGCAATTCTCTCTTTCCTTTGTACATTTGGTGGGAAGCGAGTTCAGCCTACGTACATTATGGTAACAAACTGAGAGTGTTTTCTGAATCACATACCGAAAATCTAGTTTAACTCAGACAATGAATCGTCACCTACAATTCACAGTTGTGTGTTTCTTCTTAATTTCCTAATTATTTCTGTCTATGAATAATATGAATCAAATGTTAATGCTAGATTTTCAAACAACATTTTTTTTTCAGCTGAGTTTTTAGATTGGTATATTTTGTCAGGGGTATTTCTGACACCATGTGTCAGCCTGGGCTCAGTTGGTGAACTTCTGCCTCTGAGTCAAAAGGTTGTGGGTTCAAGGCCCATATTGAGACTACACCAGTGTAAAGCAATAGCCTGCTGAACACCCTCACCAGTCCGGGCAACTCCATGTCTTGTTTCAGTAGCTACCGAGCCACAATACCCATTGCACAGCCATCAATGAAGAGAAATTAAATAAAGAAACATTTATTTGGTTGGCCGACCGAAAAGGTTGGCCAGCACTGCTTTAGGGACTTGAGATTTTCTGTAAAATGCCTTCATGAATTTTTTTTATTTATTCATAAGTTGAGCCAAGCCATTAGATTTAATTTTTTTTACATATTTTCTTGATGAAAGATAACTTCCAGTCTTTGTTTGATTAATCTTATGGAATAGAGCACCACTGTTTTTCTCACATATTCCCAGACCTGCCTCATTAAGGGAGCTTTTAACACGGTTCATCCATAGAGAAATCCTACCTCTGCACTGCATCACTTTCACTGGACAACTACTTGGCAAATGGCCAGTTCCAAGAGCAGCATTTAATTGGAGCTTAGCACAACTGCTGAGTGACATCTTGCCAGTTTTGTCGAAAAAAAAGGGGACAAAACTTTCTGGTCTTAAATCCAATGCTCAAATAACTGAGTAAGCTAGATGTTAATAATAATAATTATCCTTGTATTTGATATAGTGTCTTATCACGTCTTAGAGACGACTTAAAACACTTCACTGAATATATTGTAAAGCGAATTGACTGCATATTTTGCAGTTGAAACGTGGCAGTCAATTGCAACAGCAGTGTCCCACAAACATACATGCATTGAGTGACCAAATTATAATTTTTTAAGGGATTATTAACCCCAGAAAGTCGATCCGCCAATCGACTAACAACCGGTTACCTACTTATTGCTAGGTAAAAAGAAGTGTGTGGAGTAAGGAAACGTGCCCAACATTTCGCCCTGCCGGGAATTGACCCAGGTCCCCTCGCTTGCGAGGCGAGTGCTCTGACCACTAAGCTACAGAACTCCACAGTTCAATATGTTCAATAGGAGATTCAGTGAACAATATGTTCTTAACCTTAAAAGCGTGGTCTAACAATTTCAGATAATTTTGAAAACTTCTTAAATCGGGGGTGTTGGACAGAGGGTTGGCTGATACCAAAATTTCCAGCTCAACAATGCCAGGGCTTCCTGACTGGATCAAATGCAAGGATTATTAGAACAATAATAATAATAATCCTTGCATTTGGTGTGAGGAGGATGGTTCCAAAGTGCTTCACAGAATATTAATGTGAAATGCAGTGACAGTGTTTGTAGGCGAATCTTAATCCTGAATTTAATTCGCGTTTAAACCTGAGATTGTGCTGGAGGCAGATTGTCTGTCAGAGTTGATAATGTAACATTGAAGATTCTTGATTTTCAGCTTTCAGCTGCTGGTTAGTAAGATATTGGTCGTCACAATAAGTAACGTGTAAGCAGTGGGGGAGAGATTGCCTTTGGCCACTTGATAAATAGCAAACGGACCCCAGGTGGGAGAATAAGGTCTGTAAAAGGCGATATTGTTTGCCATGCATATTTTGTTGAATTGTGGTGCACTGAACACTCCTCTGTTAAATACGTTTAGGGAATTTTTCGCTGTGCACTTAGCAATAAATGTATTGTAATTTTAAGACCATTATTTACAACAACAATTTGCACTTATATAGTGCCTTTCCCAGAGGAAGAATATCTCAGTGTTTTGCTATGTCAGAGTGTGAGCACACGTTGAGAGGAAGATGGATGTGGATCAACTGGAGAAGAATATTATTTATGGTCCATTTCAAACGTATCTCTTTGACCATGCTTTCAGTCACCTTTCCGCTCCTCACCTTCCTCAGCTCCCACCCCTAGCTCAGGTGCCCAGCCAGCATTGAGAGCGTTTTAAGACATCCTCCCAGCATGAAAGGCGCTATATAAATATAAATTGTATTCTGTTATATTTCGGTCACTTCAGAGACCTTATTTCATGTTATGCATGAAGTAGAATGATGTTCAAATGCCTTTTTGCTTTTTTATTCAACTATTCATTGTCAGATGATCACATTGTAGATGCCAGATGATCACCAAATGCAGCCAAAACCCTCGTACATGCGTTTGTCACCTCCCACTTGAATTATTCAAATGGACTCCTCACCGGTCTCCCCAGCTCCACCATTCAAAAGATCAGTTCATTCAGAACTCTGCCACCCGCATACTGACCCAGACCAAACTCCATACCCACATCTCACCAGTTCCGGCCAGGCTTCACTTGCTCTCCATCACCAAATGGATCGACTCCAAGATCCTCACACCGGTGTTCAAATCCATTCACTCCCTGGCACCTCCCTACCTCTCCGACCTCCTCACTCCCAACCACCCAGTACCTCCACTCGACTGGCACCGGCCTCCTGCTCGTCCCTCGCACCCTCCGCCCCACCATTAGAGGTTGCGCCTTTCAGCCGCAACTCCCTAAAACTCTGAAACACTCTCCCTTAATCCCTCCGCCTTGCCCCCTCTCCCCTTTTTCAAGTTCTGCCTGAAAACCTTCCTCTTTGACCGTGCTTACAGCCACTTCTCCCAAGCCCCCTGCTCAGAGTCAGGCTCCGCCACCTTTAAGCGCTCTGAGACGTAACCTGTGTGAAGGGCGCTATATAAGTGCAAGTTGTTGTTGTTATTGTATTGCTTGTTTATTTCCAGAGTCAGGAATATGCATTCCAAGAAAGAATCCTTATCAATAACACTCTTTGAGGCCCATATAATAGAATCTGGTAAAATCTTCAGGCTTGCAATCATTCTTAATCTTCAACACTGATGTATTAAGGAATTCCTTTATTCGCAACTCATAAGAATCCAATACTATATAATACAAACTAAGGCCACTAACGGCTTCTCCTCCAGCCCCCATCATGTGTGGCGTCCCCCAGGGCTCTGTCCTTGGTCTTCTCCTTTTCAATATCTATATGCTCCCCTTTGGCGACATCATCCGCAGACATGGGGTCAACTTACACATGTATGCAGATGACACCCAACTCTACCTCTCTGCCTCCACCCTCGATTCCAGGACCACTGCTGTCCTCACAAACTGTCAGACATCAAGTCCTGGATAAGAGTTAACTTCCTGCAGTTGAATGTCAACAAGACCGAGGCCCTCCTGCTTGGCTCCTGTCAGCGCCGCCATAATTTAGACGCTGACAGCATCACCATCCATGGATGCATTCTACATCTCACGGAGCCAATATGGAACCTCGTCATCCTGTTCGACCGTCAACTGTTCTTCATACTCCACTTCCGTACCATGTCCTGCTCTGCCTTCCCCCACCTTCGCAACATCACCTGGCTCTGCCACTGTCTCACACCGCAGGCCACCGAGACCCGAATACACGCATTCATAACATCCAGGCTCAACTACGCAAACTCCCTGCTTGCCAGCGTCCCCAACTCCTCCCTTCATATGCTGCAGATCATCCAGAACTGGGCAGTCCTTATCCTCTCCGCAACCCTATCATCCCCAACCTCGTCCGACTCCACTGGCTTCCCATTACACAGAGGATACAGTTCAAGATCCTGGTCCTCACTTTTGAAAGCCCTCCATGGCTTTGCTCCCCACTACCTCTGCGACCTCCTAACCCCCTACCAACTTGCCCGCTCTCTCCGCTCAACGGGCTCCGGCCTGCTTCATGTCCTCGCCTAGCCTGCCCCACCATTGGCAGGTGGACCTTCAGCCACTCTGCTCCATCCCCTGGAACTCCATCCCACAGTCCCTCCATCTCATCCTCTCCCTTGCCTCGTTCAAGACCTGTCTCAAGACCCTTCTCCTCCTTCCCCCCCTGCCCTAAACCCTCCCCAATCCCAACTCCCAGCTTGGTCCAAAACACTGATTGTCCAGCACCCTGGGACATCCCTACGGTGTGAAAGGCTCTATACAAATGTAATTTTTGTTTGTTTGTTTGTATTTGCTAACAGAAATTGCAGTCATAATGGAGTTTGGTGTGGTGCATTTCTAACTCCTGGCAATAAGTTTTTTTTTTAGACACAAAATATAGCATATCTTGAAAAGCTTATGAATTTCAATGCTCACGCTTGATGTTGAACTGGAGGGGATGTTTTGCTTGCATGTTGGAAATAACTAATTTGTGGGAGATCTCCAGTTGCAGAATAAGGATTAATGTGGTGCTCTCAGCTTTTGCAAAGAAGAAGTTGTGTGAACAAAACAGGAAACTGTTGGCATAGAGTGGGGATGGATACAGGTTTGAAACAGTGTCTCTCTCCATTGCGGAGCTGAACTGAATGTCATTGATTAAAGCCCGCAGCAACTCCCAGCCGGAGGCAGGGGAATTAGAGAGGATGATCATCTCTTGGTGGTTTTCCGTGTCTCTTTGTGGTTGGCTTTAGGGGACCCTGATGGCAATCTGAGAGCCCACGCACTTGGTTGTAGCTGCCAGACCAGGCCCTCACAAGAAGCTGTGGATAAAGCTACGATAATAAAAAAAGGAGTAACTTACCAACTACCCACTAGAAAAGTATGTTTATTTTGTTCTGTAAAAAAAGCGTCTCAAAATCAGGAAGAAGCTAACAATTGAGTATTCGTATTCTCATGCTGAGCATCTTAGTTGCACAACCCTTGATTGAGCTAATTGGGCCCTGTGGGTGACAAATAGAAATTTGATGCAAGAAGCATGTTAACACTCTGGTCAACTGTGATAAAATCAATGTCAGCCAGATAGCTCATCAAAATATGTGACCATGTGTTCAGATTAAAACCCACGGGTTTAATAGCAACAAGCATTGTTAATGTGCTGCTATCTGAGACAAATAGGTATGAACGATTTTCATCAATAATGAATGGAAACCTGAAGATCCACACATAGGCAGGCATTTCAAACAAAAGCACAAATTGTTTCTTGATCAGAAATACCTACTTGCTTCTGGCACTGGCCTTTGAAAAATGTACAATATTTGGAACAATGGTTTCAGATCAGTAACATTCGTTCTGATTCATTTTGGTTTATATCACACACACCCTTATTTTTTGTGATGTTATTGGTTATTCAGCAGAGCCGCTTTCATACAATAGATGGTAGAACTGGAGTTAGAACCGTTTTCTTCAGCCATCCTAAGACTCTCCAGAAACTTTAGGAATTTCCCTTGTTTTAGCTGCTTATATTTGTGGACAACTCCACCGTAGAGTCCTCATCAATTAAATATAATAGGTTGTTGGCAGTATATAATGGGCATGATCTATGCAGCATGTACGGTCAGTGTGATCAGAAAATTAGCAAATGCTGCTTCACAAACAGCAGCTCAAATCAATATAGTTCTGTGACAAAGGAATAGCCACAGAATTATGCAAATTCGTGAATGGAACTGCTGAATCTAACTTTACTGAAAGGATACAACAGATGATTCCTTCCTTCCGTTCAGCAGGTAGAATCCTCCTTTCTACACTGTTCCATGCTACAAAATAATGTTAGCCTGGCTCAGCTGATAACACTTTCCCCTCCGAGTAAGAAGTTTGCGGGTTCAAAACCCACATTAAGACTTCAAAGTCAAGGCTAACACCCCTAGGGAGTTTTGCACTGTTGGAGGTGCTGTCCTTCAGATAAGATATTAAACATAATAATAATAATAATCCTTGCATTTGATATAGCGCTTTTCACGTCGGGAGGATTATTATTAGACATGTGGAGTAAGGAAACTTGCCCAAGGTTTCGCCCTGACCTGCCTGGAATTGAACTCAGGTCTACTCACTTGCAAAGTGAGTGCTCTGACCACTGAGCTACAGGACTCCACAAAATATTAAACCCAAACCCCCTCTATATGTTCAGGTAGCGCTTTGAGCCACTACCCCGTGTGAAGGGCACTATATAAATGCAAATTGTTGTTGTTGTTATTGGACCTTAAAGAAGTTACTCCTAGTGTTCTGGTCAACAATTACACAAATAACATTGTTCATTCCATGACTGTACGTGAGACATTGATGTGCACAAATTTGCTGGCACATTTGTTTTCAAAACACATAATCACAGCACTTTGCAGTAAAATCACATGAAACACTTTCAGTCATCCTCCAGATGTGAAATATAAGGATTATTATTAATACTTGCATTTGATATTGCGCTTTAGCACCTTAAAATGTCTCAAAACACTAAGCACACACATTGGTCAGTGTTAGCTCTCTTAACAAGAAAGTTGGCCCATTTGGCTTGCTTTTCTTATCTCTAATTGGGAGGATCTTTGCCAAGACCCTCTCTCTTTACTCATGTTGATCCTGTTCTTAAGAACGATGATTCCTCTTATTCTTCCAACTATTACCTCATTGCCCATACATCTGTACAATCTAAAGTTATGAAACTTTTAACAACTCTCAAAATTATTCATGTTGAAAATTTGGGTCTAATCTATCATCCCCAATTAGTTTTCTGGCAATACTTACCTAGATTACATACTTTTGGAATTCAACCAAGTTATTGTCTTTCACTGGATGATAAGAATTTTTTTAGGGGTGTAGCTGGCTGTCTGACACGTACGGCAACCCATTAACATGCTTAAAGGTCTCCAAACCAGACTGAGAGTTCCACTTACATACGCTACCTACACATAAAAAATTTCCCTGTGCCTGGCATGGAACTGCATTGTATCCCCAGAGGAACTCACCCTGATTACCTAATTGTGGAGAGTTTTTGGCATAGATTGGTGAGAGCGAAGACTTGTGTTTTCTGGGTGAACACGGCAGCCAATTTGCGCAAAGCAATGTCCCACAAACAGCCGTGGAGTGGAATGACCAATTTTGTTTTGGGAGATTGTTGGCCAGCACTCGAGGAGTAACGCCCTTCTCTTTTCAGATACTGCCATGGAATCTTTAATGTCCACATGAACAGGCAGATGGGGCATATCAATGGGTTTAACTGCATATGACTAACACCTTGCTGACCAAAAATATTTGTGTTTTCTTGGTTATATAATTGATATCAGTTCATACTAGCACTATATTTGAAGCTCTCTGGTACGCTACCCCGCGTGAAGTGAGCTATATAAATGCAAGTTGTTGTTATATTTGCAGTACTGTTGTATGTTGGAACAGTACTGCAGCAATGCAGTAAGGTGACATTATTATTGCTTGCTGACTTCTGTTTTTATATTGAACTTCGAACTGAGCGTGACAGTTTCAAAGTTAGAAAATAGCTAGCAGGAAATCCATTGTTTTCTATTGTTTTCTGGCATTTCATCTCTTTTTAAACTTGTGATGGTAACCTTTTGTCTTTTTATCAGTTCGAGTTCAAGTGCAGTCAATAGGCAGCACAAGTAGTGAAGAAATCTTACAGCAATGTTAGAAAAGCAATAAATTGATGCAGGTTTGGCAGGGTCATGCAGCGCTTACCTTGTATCTGTCTAACATGAAATCAGCTTCACACTAAGGTAAATCACCTAAGGTAGCAAGATGCGCTGTATTTGGTGTGAGATATGGTCAGATGCAAGTGATGTGGCAGAGATGAAGAAAAGCGGTCCTGGGTCAGAGATCAGATGTGAAGTAGGAAGGACAGCTGGTGATCGCACTGATACCTGGGTTGCGTTCAGTAAGTCTGAGGGTTAGGCGGGGGAGATTAGGCGGAGACATCTGCGGAGATGCAGATAAGAAGACATTGATGGAAGCTAAGGAGGATGGATTCTGTCTTATCAATATTCAGCTACAGAAAGTTTCCGCTCATCCAGGCCTTGATGTCTGACAAGATGAAACATTGGTGAACCATGGATCACGGATAAAAGAAAAAAAAGAGTAGATTTGAGCGTCCTCTGCATACATGTCGATGATGACCCCATATCTGTGAATATATCACCAAAATTTTTTGCATGTAAATGCGAAAAAGGACGACTTGCGAAAGTTGGGGCAGTGTCTGTTTGAATTTAGGATTTCCAGTTGGTTTCAAGAATTTGTCTGTGTCTGTTACTCATTAATTAAAATGTCTAACTTGCTTTGGTTATATGGATATATATTTGAGGGTTGTTGCTTCATTTATAATTGCAGTTGCCCAATCTGATGAGACAAATTAAACCTTGACTGATGCCGTTCCTCAAAACGAAATAATCTTAGATATTGGTCTGGTGAAAATTGATGGTTTTGTACATACGCAGCAATAAAAGTTGAACTAAAATTACACCAGAAGACAGCTTTGCCAAGTGTTTTCATACAGATCAGCCGAACACCAATACGTCATCTGTGGAATGACTGTGACCTAAAATACAGCTTGTTGATCACATAAATGATTTGACCATCTTTGGTCTCATCATCTGGTTCTGTTAATGAAAGAGCCTAAAACACTTTCAAACCATCCTACCAATGTCTGCATAAGATCACGCAGTCCTTGTTATTCTGGGAGATGGTAATTATTTTGAATGATCAGCAGTTCTTTCACTCATTGCCAATAGTTTGTGTTTCGTTATGAATCAAAAGAAAGCATGAATCCACGCAGAATTGAATCTAATGCAATGTTTTAAGGTTCATGGTAGTAACCATAAAGTAACCCAGTATTTTGGGTATGAATTGAAAATTACTGTAATTTGATGTGGCACAGTCATAACCTATTGTATATTCCCTGGTAATTGTAGAACAAAAGGTTATTACTGTTTTCTCTCAGCAGAGTTCATTGGATAAGATGTTACTGTAAAACATTTTTCTGGACAACACTCAGAAATTCCAAGTGCTCTGAAGATTAGGTAGAAAGATATTTCTGTTCATTCTATCTTTTGGTTGAGTTACAAAGATGTTTGAATGACACCAGTTGTTTTGAAAAAAATAATTGGTGAAGGGAACCTCCATCCAAGTCAAAAGGAGATGTGTTCTCTGTGTTAACATGAAGTAGCCTTTACTGGTGATTGATTGAATCTAAACAATGGTTACTGACATTCAAACTTGTAAACTCACAAGTCTTCAGCTTGTGAAATCCTAGACAGCCTGTAAAGTACATAAAATTTTCATTCCTTGGCATTCTGCTGTTATCAAGAGAGAGGCAAAAGGTTTTTCCATCTGTTCCATTCGTTTAGTCCCTGGTGTTCCTGGCCAGAAATTCTCCAGATAAGTTATTCATTGACTTCATGGTATTTGTGGGACATTGCTGAGCACAAATTTGTTCACCCTACATGAATAATTCCCAATGAATAGGAGGAAACTTCTCCCATCCATGATAGTTTTCACTTCACTTTCTTATCTAACATGAAATTTCATGAATTGCCTATGCTTCTTTCTATTCCAAGTGGAACATATTTAGATGCTAGATTCTTACTTAAATATCATAACACAGTCATTTGTACCTATTTGTTTGCTTGCAGATGAGACTAAGTTTGATGAAGCCATTGTGGTGTTGCTCACGTGGTTTGAACGTGGAGAGGTGACCCGACGCTCTGCAAATAATTTTTATTCCATGATCCAGTCAGCCAACAGCCACACCCGCAGACTGATGGGTGAGAAGGTATCGCATGAAGAAGCAATGGAACAGGCCAAGGAACAATTTAAAAGTGCTTTATCAGGGATCCTCAGTGAATGTAAGTGACATTTCCATGTGTACATTCTCAGTTTTGTTTAACTATGTAGTGCTAGTTTTGGAAAGTCAAACTGCACCACCTCTACGTACATGGGTCCACCTTACAGGATTAGATTTTCAGGTAGGATTTTTTTTCTTTTTACCTCTTCAGTCAGAAGACATATTGCATCTTGTAAGAAATGTGGACAGTTATGGAATTTGCAAACGTCAGACTGAGACAGCACAACTGAGAAGATCGACAGCATCTATATAAACATCTTTAAAGTCACAACATATAACTCCAGTAAAGACACCTCATTTTAACAGTCCAAAATATAAGATGGTAACTTTATTACTTTATAGTACTTTTTCTGTGGAGTAATGATAAGAAAAGAAGAGCCATGAGGTGATCAGTATGAGAAAAAAGCATGAATATTATTTGTAATATATATTGCAAGACAGATGAAAAGGTGTATGTCGACTGAAAGACCAAGGCTATTACTGGAGTCATCATGCAACCTGTGGGTCCACTTTGTGTTTTTCTCATCAGATTTTTGGTCTTTGTTCATCAGAGCTAATAATGAATGGAAACAAACTAAAACGCAAGCACAATGTTTGTGATGCGCTGATGAGTTTAAATGGAATTTCCGATCGGTTGCATAGAGTAATATTTAAAACAAATTGGAATTAATGATTGGGGGTTGGGGTTGAATACTGAATGAGGGGAGAAACTGAAACATGGAGATGTGGGAAAAAAAATGACTGAGTATATCTGTTTTGAAAATGGTTTTAAAAGGAAAAGTCGTTCAATCTGTCTATAGGGAGTTCTAATTGCTTATCCAGATAATGATTTGTTGCTTGCTTTTATGATAACTAATCATACTCAGTTTATTAAGAGCTTAAATAGAGAGCTATTAAGATATATTGTATCTCATGAAAGACTGAATTCTAATGTGATGAGAAAATAATCCATTTACCAATCGTGGAAGCTATAAATATGATTAAACCTGAAATGACTGTTTTAGAACGGAAAGATTTACAGCTGGTCCAGGAATATTATTTGTACTTGACAAATAATAATAAAATGAAGGACGCAATTCCTTTAGCTAAATCAGCCCGGCTCAGTTGGTAGTAAATCTAAGTCAAATATTTGTGGGTTCAAGTCCCATCTCGGAACATTGAAATCATACTCAAGGTTGATGCTGTGATGCAGTGTTGAAGGTGCCAACCTTTGGATGAGACGTTAAACCAAGACCTGTTGATTGGTCATTTAAAATGCAATTGGGCTATTTGAAAAGAGGACGGAGTTTCTACCAATGTCCTGACAAGCAATCCCTCAATTAAAATTGGTCATTCACTTCCTGGATGTCTGTGGGACATTGCTGTGCACTCTAGGTGTTGCTTTTGCCTACAAAATATACAGTCACTCCACCTTACAATATATCATGTGAAGCACTTTGAGATGTTGTCCTGACATGAAAGTTGCTATATTAAATGTATGGATTATTACTATTATTATTTATCACCTATGACTAACATTTTGCAGTTTACTAGCTATTTCCTGGAAGCAATGACTTGAATTATTTTGGAGAGAACTTGGGATTTTTTTTTAAACGTTTACTTGAAACATTCAATTTAATTTAAATTTTTCAGTCAACAAACAAGCAGAGCAAGAGGGAAATTAAATTAAACGAATCTTAAGAATAGATTATTTGGAAAATAGCAATTATAATCTCTTTACAACTTTAGAAAATATTTAAACACTTCAAGGGTAAAACGTTATCTCACTGGAAATATTATGGAGACATTCAGTCATGAGGAGAACACATCATCACTTGACATACTGTAAGTACAACATACATTAGTGAGCATGATTGTGTCGTAAGGAATCTTCAATATTTAAGACGATTGAAAGCTATTTTTATTTAATTCCGATTTTTTCCCCTGAAGGATGAGATATTGCCTTTAGCAGTGGTTTGAATCAGAATATTGCTAGCCCCTGTGAGTCTCTGACTTGTTTTTCAATTTTAATCAAAACATAAACTGGTTGTTTTGTTTGACTTCCTTGTTCACCAAAGTTGAGCAGATTGTGGCGGTATTCAAGGCTGCTTCGAAGCAAAAGGCTTGGGACCATTTCTCAAAAGCTCAGCGCAAGAACATTGATATTTGGCGAAAACAAGCAGAGGTTGGTAAATTAATCTTGTTCCACTTAAGTCCAGTAGGATTTGGTGCTTCGAGAGTGTATTAGGAGTCATTCAAGTATATTTTATTCATGGCCCTCAACTCATTCTGTTGTTCATCACTGCTTATTTGTTCTGATTTTTGCTATCAGCACTTCCAGTCTATTTGATGCTCAGATATTACTCCATTACTGTTGGTGAGTTTGTGACTACACAACCCTTTCACAAATATCGTCCACAGTGTGTTTCTGCACACACACATCTATGTATCATTCTGGAGAATGTGTGGACTTGTTTATGTATCATTTTGGTGACTAATCCTCTTTGTCTTGTATTCTGAGTGCAATTTGTGCTGAATTATAACCAATTTTGTTCTTTGAACCGAGACATTACATTGAAATTGGGTAAATGTGTATCACAATATGGTATGTGCAGTCTGCAGAAAAGAGAGAAAGACTCTCACCCATTAAACTTTACTGGATTTGTATTCAAACCCGTTATGCCAATCCCCACCCCAAAAAACATTAGTTTAAAAAATATAATTTGGGATTAAAAACAATTAAAAAGTACTTTTTTTCTTACAAAGAAATCATACGTATTCATTTAGTACTAAGACTGTGGTCAGATCTAGGGATCTGCTTGCTTTTCTTGTTTCTCAGCCAAGAAAGAGCCTGAAAAAATAAGTGGAAAGGTTAAAAAACAAAATGCCAACCTTCGGGATAATGACTTTTTAAAGCAAATTTGTTATTGAATCTGTTAGAAAAACAGAACTTTAGTTACAACTTGGAAGTCACAATTAACACGCAAAAAACATTTTTTCGACTCCAATATTTGTTCTAATTTGCTAATAATAATAATAATCCTGTATTTGGTATAGCACCTTTCATGTCAGAAGGACATCCCAAAGTACTCCACAGAATATTTTGTGTGTTTTGTGATACTATAAAGACTTCAACAGTTTAGTTAAAAAATTTACTCTCTATCTTTTACACTATTCTCATCTATTTTTATTCTTTATTTCTAATTTTATAACAATTTCCTTTTTTTTTATTGAGTCACTTTAATCTTCTGCCTCCGTCTGACTACATGGTTCCACGGGCTTTGTGAAGGTGAGACCCACATTTTTAAAGATTGACCCCTGATTGGGCAGAAAATGTTTTTGATTTAAAATATAATAAACAGACAGATAATGTCAGAGTGGGAGAAGTGTTAAGTGAAATTTCACAAGGGAAATCCTCAGACTAGCAAGATCAATAAATTTACCAACCAGTCGAGAATTACTCTTTGGACTCCTTGGGCCAGTCGAAGGTCTCTGATTAGTTTTCATCTCTACAACCTCTATTACCATTTCTTGTCAGAGTCAAATGCCTCCAGCCAAAACCTATAGCTAAGGAACTGTGATTTCAATCCCTTCTTGGGACTAGACATATCTGCTGTTCAGCTTGGTCGACATGAGATAACAGAGTCAGTTAAAAATACTGAAGGCAATAGCTAGTACTTGAGACAGGGTTTTGCAAACATATGTATTCTGCCTTCTGGCCCATTAGAGTTTTGGGATGAAGCTTTTGTTTCTTGTGCCTGATATTGATTCTGCTGAATTGGTCACTGCTCTTTGATGGAACTTTGGATAGCTGACCTCTGATTTCAGATGATTTTTCAATAGATATGGTCTTCAGTGAGATTGCGTGCCAATGCCAGTTTGCAGTAACTTTGACTGTAATGTGTCGCCATGGAAATCCAGATGTCCTCTGCTTTGTTTGCTGGAGACTGGACCTTTTGAAATGCAGATTGAATGCCAGTCAAAGACAACAAAAACATGTTTCTGCTGCTAACCAATCAATAATTGTCCTGTCATATAGCAAACCTTGTGCTCACCATTGTTTTAACATGCAAATGTAAGACTGCTTGGATGTATGCCAAACAGTGGTCAGATAAATCAATTGATTCTCTGGGTGTTCTCTTTGGAGACTAAATGAATCTGGAATCCTGTAGCTCAGTGGTTAGAGCACTCACTTTGCAAGCGAGAGACCTGGTTCGATTTCCGGCAGGGAAGTAGGAACCTGCTTGTTAGTCAATTGGCGGATCGGCAATAATTCCTTCAAAAAAGAAATAAATCAATCATAAATTGGTCACTTCAGTCCATGACTGTTTGTGGGACACTGCTGTGTACAATTAGCTGCTGTATTTCGCCCACAAAAATACAGTCAATTCACTTTACAGTATATTCTGTGAAGTGCTTTGAGACGTCACAAAGACGTGATAAGGCGCTAAATGCAAGGATTATTATTATTATTAATGTTCGACCTGAATAGGTGTTACCTCCATTTGGAGGAAGATCAATTGAGTAGCATTACGCAACTATAAAAGCGCAGCACATCACAAGAAATCTTAAGTTCTGCTTCTTAGCCAATTGGTTCCATTATTTTTCTTAATCAAGACTTTCAGAGGAGACTGTCCTCCTTACCAACATAATTAAGAATAGGATCTTTTGAACAATGTTGCTATATAGTCTGGGCCACATTGCAATCTGCAAATTAGAAATTACTATTATACCCTCAGTTATGTTTCCTAAGCAAGTTGGATTTTGAAAAAAATTAAAACATTTCTGCGTTACAAGCAGTTGGACAGAGTTGGTCTGAAATACTTCGGCAGATGATCTCTGTAAATACATACCCCCAACAGAAAGTAACAGTTCTAAGGAATAATTAATGAGCGTGGGATTATTTCACTAAATTGTTCACTGTACTAAAAGTAACATATAGCACAAGATAAAGCAAGCTACAAAGTGAACAATGCTGCCAAGTTCCAAGGAAGAACCTTTCTCAGATATTAGCCAGAGGAACAACCATAGAAAGAGAATCTTCTTCTGCTCATCATGATATTTCCTGGAATAGGATATCTGTCAGCATCACTACTGATCTCTTTGTGCTCTATTTTTAGCTTTTTTGTGACCAAAACTGCTTACATTTCAAGTTGCAGTTCTCAAGTTTTTCTTTTGTTAAACATAGCTCGTGACTGATCGATTTTTCTAAATCTTCCCATGAGCTAGGTAGAGTCTTCTCTCTTTCCTTCCTGCTGTTTCTTACAAATTGCTCTGAAGCCAAACCTTGTCCGGGACAAAGTGGTTGCTTTCAATAGCAATATTATCTTTTATACCTCAATGCCGCAACAGTCAATTTCACTGAAACATTCCCCTCAGGGGATCCTGATGTTAATGCAGCAAAATGTTAACATCATTGTATTAAATAGTGATTCAGCATTGCATTAAAGAGGCACCAATTTGCTCATTCATAAATTCACAACAACTTAAGAAAACATGGAACAAGAAAGGACCATTGGGTTCGGAGTCCATGCCAAGCCAACCATATTTGTTCTGCCATTGTCCCTCAGTGTTCATTTACACACAGTTACACCTAGAAACACCATGGCAGGTACATTTTTAGCAACTGCAAAATATAAGTTATTTCACAAGGTAAGTTGTTTTAATTCTTTCCTTTATTTGAGAAAAGCTCGTGACTAAACTGGGACAAAAAGCATTTGGTGAACTGGTATGAAATCTACTTTCTAATTAATGACAAATGTATTCTGTGTGTTCTATGGCTCATTAATATACTGCCTGAAGCCACAGGCGACTGCTTAATAAGGTTGAGAAATAAGGTGTATAAAGACTCATATTGATCATGTTGTTATACGTTTTTTCATATTTAATGGAATTTATACCTCATTAGGGCAGTAATGAAGGTAAGTGACATGAGATTGTCATTCATATTGGCACTATTACATGGTCCTTACTCTAACAATGGCTCACAGTAAGAAAGTGTTCCCAAGATTTAGCTTGTAGAGCAACCTGTGGTAAGTTTGCATCGTAGATTAGTCAGGTGTACGTTTCATAAAATGTAAAGTCTCTCTGTTGCAATGTATTTTGTTCTAAGTATGAGAAAATTGTGAATCTAACTCATCTCGAGGAGGATTTTGGAACTTTTTGTTTAAAAATGCTGTGACAATCAGCATTTTTAATATTTTAGTAAAATATTACTAGAATCACTCCTCAGACAATATCTTTACACGGGTTTTGTTGTCAATGACGATCAAGGAGTGTCATTATGTGGCCAGTTCCACTTCCAACTATCTTTTAAGCCCTACATCCCCCCCAAAATACTTCCACAGTATGTCCTATGAAGCACTTTTGAGACATCTTGATGACGTGACAAATTGCTTTCTCAAATACAAGAATTATTGTTATTACTACATTTACATTCCCTCACCTCTGCAATATCAGCCCTGCTCTTCTTCTCAAGAAACCCTCAATCAACCCTTGTGTGTTTCTTAGTGACTGGCATATCTGCAACTTGTCCTTCTTTTCCAAGATGCTGGAATGAGTTGTCGCCCGACCAGCTTTGTTCTTTCCTCTCCAGGCACTTCCTGCTTGAGCCCCTCCCATCTCATTTCTGCCCGACCCTGAGCATCGAGAAGGCCCTTGTGACCATCAATGACACTAACCACGTTCTCTCCATCTGTGACCTGGGCTCTCTCTGCCTCCTAGTTCTCCTAGGCCTCTCTGCTGCCTTCAACATTATCAACCATTCCATCTTCCTCCACTGTCTCTTCTCCCTGCTCTAACTTTCTTCAGTTAAAAGTCAACAAGACTGAAGCTGTCCTGCATGGCTCCCATCAGCATCTTCTCTCTCCAGATGCTGATAGCATCAATCTGCATGGATGCTTACTCCACCTCACTCCACCTCTATGTTTTGTTCGACCCCAAACCCCAACTGTCCTTTAAGCCCTATATCCCTCTCAAATATATTTCCACAAATTGCCCACAAGACATGATCTCATCACTTTACAGTATATCCTGTGAAGCGCCTTGAGACATCTTGACAACGTGATAAGGTGCTATATCAAATGCAAGGATTAATATATTATTACATCCGGGCTCTCACTTACTCAGCTTTCTCTCATCTCCGCAATATCTGTTCTGCCACCTCTCCTATGGGTCTCTAAAACCCTCATCGCCTTTATCATGTCCAAGATTAATTATTCCAAAGCCCTGCGTGCCATACTCAACTCCATCTTACACAAGCTGCAGACCATCCAGAACTATGCAGCTATATCCTGTCCTATACCCTGAGTACATCACCATATCTTTGGTCAACTCTGCTGGCTCCCATTACTCCAATGGATCATTGGCAAGATCCTCATCTTCACTTTCAAATCCCTCCACTCCCTCCTATCCTACCTCTTCGAATTCCTCCTGCATTCTCTACTCAGCAACCTTTGCATTGCATCATGTGCCCTGCCCTACCCACTCCGCCGCAAAATTGGTGATTGTGTGTTCATCCATTCTGGCACAGCTCTCTGGAACTCCATCCCAGAGTCACTCCGCTACCCCCTCTTTCTCCTCAATTTTGAAGTCATAGAAGTTGTTGTTTTCACTTGACAATATACAGCAAATTTCGCTAGAGTATATAGTAAGATTCACTTGACAGCAAATGGCCACTTTTAGTTTTTACTTTTACTCTCATCGACCGAAAGCTTTAATACCTTGAAGATATCTTGTATGAATTCATGCTGAGGTAACTGTCAGGGTTGCAGTTTGAATGTTGTGTCCGTGTATGAATTTCTTGCAAAAGAATTGTCTCTCTTTTGACAACAGGAAATCCGCAATGCACATAGTGAGGAACTCATGGGAATTCGACGTGAAGAGGAAATGGAAATGTCTGATGAAGACTATGAAGAAAGCCCAAATAAAAAAGGCAAAGTGGATGAATTTGGTGAGGCACTTTTGGTGATGTTCATTGAGCAATCCTTAAGTCTGCATCTCTTTGCAAGAGCGTAATACTGAATAATGCCAGGATGTTTAATTGAGCTGTTATCTTGTTGTTTGTACTGGCAATTAATGCTGAGTCCTACTGCTCATTATCATTATAGGTCTTTGAATCATGTTAGATCTTCTGATTGTTTCTAACCTTATACAAATATAATGTTCAAAGAAGATGTTAGGGTTAGGGTTTGACAATTTGTAGAAGACAGGGTACAAAATATAGCCAGATGACTGGCTTTCTGGTCACACCCATTCACTTTCTGTTCACATCATTCACCAACTTTATAGAAAAGCTTCTGCATAGAAATCAATACTTTACTGTTCTCCACAGTTCATCTCCAGCTGCCCCTGCATAATCTAAACCTTACTGCAACTATCTGTGAACTCGTGTTTCAGCTGGTTACAGTCAGGGCAAATTATTTCCTCTTAGTCAGTCTGGTCATTGAGAGAGAAACTGGCTGATAAATCAATCGGATTAGGGAAACCAGAAAAAATTACAAGATTCGTCTGAAACAAAGGTGTGCCCCTCCCTTTACTGCTCGAGACTGATATAAATATATAGTCAATCAGAATGGCCAGGACGAAGTATTTAGTGATTTTATAATGAGTTATTTATAATAACAAGGCAAAGGACTGAGCAATGGTTCTAGAAGACAAAATAAGGTTCTAGAGGGCATGGTGGGGCAGGGGAAGAGGAATCAGCTAAACTTATGTTGTCTATTTTTGGTGCAAAGTCCAGGACCCTTCACATTTGGCATCCGAGATGAGGATGGAGGATGCTTGAGGGGGTGCACGGTGGAGGTGATATGTGGTGGAAAACAGGAATAGAGTTGGTTAGTGTTGGAGTAAAAAAATTTTTTTTTTTTGTCGGGCTGGATGACACTGAGGATTGATATTTTTGTACAGTGCTAGTCAGAGAGGGAGGTAGTTTTGACATAGAGATAGCAAGAAAGAGAGAAAATGCTGGAGAGACTCTGAGAGAAGGACAGGTGTAGAGGATATCCTCAGAAGGATTTGGGAATTAAACAGGATTTTGTTTGTTCAGCCTGCACCCTTATTGAAGGCAGGAGTTGCAAAAGTTCACCAACTAAACACGAATTCTAAACACAGTCGGTGCTGGTCTATTGTTTCAAAAATAAGATTGAAGGTTGATTGCTCAATTAAAAATGGAGGAGATTCTAAATAGGACTCTCCACTTTACAGAAAATTCTGTGAAGTACTTTGAGACATCCTCCTGATGTGAAAGGCACATATTGGAGTCGTGCAGCTTAGTGGTTGGAGCACTTGCCTAGCAAGCTGAGTTTGATTTCCAGGCAGGAGGAAATGTTAGGCAAGTTTCCTTATTCCACACGCCTCTGTTTACCTAGCAGTAAGTAGGAACCCAGTTGTTAATTGATTGGAGGATCGCTTTCTGGGGTAATAAACCTTTCAAAAAAATAATAATAATGATTTGGTTATTCAATCCATGACTGTTTGTGGAACACTGATGTGCGCAATTAGCTGTAGCGTTTTGTTCACAGTCAATTCACTTTACAGTATATTCTGTGAAGCGCTTGAAATGTTTCAAAGACGTGATAAGGCACTATATCAAATGCAAGGACTATTATTATATTGTATTATTATTATCTGCAAAATAACTTTGGTAAGTGTGTGCAGTTTGACTGATTCTTTGTTAGTTTGGCAAATTTACCCATTGGCGGTGTGAGCTTCTAAATCACACTGAAAGTCAATGGATTTACCAATCAACAGAGAATAGGTGAACTTGCTTGCCAATAGTGGTGATTGTATTATTTGCTCACAGTTATCTTGCTAAAGTAAAGTGGCAGCCCTCTCGCCTCTAGGTCAGAAGCTGTTGGTTTAAACCCCATGTTGGTACATTTAATTCATAGTTTATGTTGAGACTATAATGTTCTGCAAGGAGATTTTGACTTTCTGTGGCTGCTTGTGGGACATTACAGTGACAAATTGACAGCTGTATCCACCTACAAATATACAATTAATTTATCTTACTGCAACTATTTGCAAAGCTTTTTGAGATATTTGAAGTACATGCATTATATCAAATACAATGATCATTATTGTTATCTCTGTCTCAGTGGCAACACAATCCTCATTGCAACGGAACTGTGTGAAATACATTAAGCAGAGGCTGGTCCTTCATTACACTGGGACAAGGTTCTCAAACACCTTCTAGCATATGGTTATAGATTTCATGTGATAAACATACAGAATATTCTGGAACAAATATTTCAATCATATACATCATTTATATAAATGATATATATAATATACTAGCTGTACCATTTGCAGCTTTGCTTGCAACCAAAGGATCCAATATGGAATGTAGATTGACACACTGACAGACATTTCATCCTTATCTATACTCATCTGGGAGAACTCAGTGGGAGGACTCCTTTTGGGAGAACTCAGTGGGAGAACTTGGAGTTTTAAAAATGTAATTTTGTTGTTGTTGTCACGACTTAGCTTCGTCTGTATTCTTTATTTTGTTCCCGCCACTTGGCTTCATGCATGCTCTGTGACGCAGGATGATGCCGGTCAGCTGGAGTGGCCAACAGCTGTAACTGCAGTGTATGCATACATATATAGCTGCTCTGTGACACACGATGCAACAGCGCCACTTTGACTCGGCGGCCACTCATGAACTCATGATTAATAGGAGGTACCCGAAAACAAATATGCCCATGTCACTTCTTGGTGCAAGACCTTTCCGATGAGGTATAAATCATGTCTCTACGTCAATCGGTTATTGAGATCTTTCTTGAAGCGCAGACAGACATTGTCATTTTATTAGTATAAAGAATATATATATATATATTGTGGCATTGGCACAGTGGAATTTGTGGTTTGGGGTCTAATTTATGGGTTGTGCTAATAAAAAGGAATTTATATATAACAAAAGAGCTTCCTCGCTCATTCGCCAACACACGTTTAAAGAATTCCAGATGTCCATTATGTAATTAATCAATGAAAAGGATTCTAGAATAATGGTTAAAAACATAATTAAGGGCATCTGCAATACCCTCTTTACACGTGTGTTTACACATGGTTAACACAAGGTGTATGTTACACCTTTCAATTGTCTTCCAGCTGCAATTAGTTTGATGGATTGCTGTGTTTATCAGCATTGGCACTAATCACTATTCGCTACTTGAACAGCAAGGCAGAAAATAGCAACCTGTGTTCTCAACTGGTGAAATACCTACGCTGCTGAAACTCCTGTATTCCAAAAGACACCAGCAGTAAGGAAAATCAGCCTCTGTATTCTTAGCATGGCAAGAGGTAATATTGTGGGAAATCGATAATGACTGAAACATAATTAGGAAACCCTGATGGGGTTTTGTTGGCTATTGATTTCTTGCTTACATTTTCATGGGCCATTTCAGACATTGATGCCAGTCATTGATTTGGAACAGAAAATATTTAACTTTCCAACAAGTAATTCTAAAACTATAATTATGTTGGAAATACCTTGGTCCCTATTAGATTGAAAGTTAGACTTTATTTAAAAGTCTTTATAACAACAACTACTATTTACGTAGCACAAATGTTTCAAAGAGCTTTGCAGGGATGGACGATGTGGCAGAAGGCCCAATTAAAATGATTTTAGATGTGTTTTGAAAGCAGAGAGACTGGATTTAGGTGGTTGCCTATTTTGGTGGAGTCCTGTAGCTCAGTGGTTAGAGCACTCACCTCACAAGCGAGAGACCTGGGTTCGATTCCCAGCAGGGTGACACCTGATAATAATCCCTCAAGAAGAAAAAAATAATAAATCGGTCACTTCAATCCACGACTGTTTGTGGGACACTGCTGTGCGCAATTGGCTACCCGCATTTTGCCCACAAATATACAGTCAATTCGCTTTAATTCAATTCGCATGACATGAAAAGCACTATATCAAATGGAAGGATTATTATTATTATTGTTGGTGGGATTTAGGAAGAGGTGTAGTGAATGGGAAACAATGACTGGAAGCTCGGCTAGCGAGTGTGGGACATGAAGCAGGCCTGAGTTGCAGATTGGAGAGAGTGGGCAAGAAATTATAACTGCAGAAGATCAACAAGCTGGGGTGGGTGGGAGGCGGTGGGTGGAATAAAAACAAAAATGCTATGAATAAAGATTTTAAAATGTATCAACTGTGGAATAGGGGACACGTGTAACCTGGACGTGATGGGCTTATAGATTGGAGAGACATTGGAGAAATCAATACTGCTGGGCATTTCCGATCAATACTGTTGGACATTTCCAATCAATACTACCAGGCATTTCCAATCAATATGGTCAGGTGGATTTCTGATCAATACTACCAAGTGTTTCCAATCAATACGGCCAGGCATTTCCAATTGGAAATATGGCCAGGCACATTTCTGATCAATACCGATGGGGGTTTTCAATCAATACTGCCAGTCGTTACGACCAATATGATGGGTGTTTCCAATCAATACTGCCAGGTGTCTACGATCAATACCAATGGGCATTTCCAATCAGTACCGCCAGTCAATTCCCTGGCAGCTCCAACCCATCACTTTAACATTAGAAAATTGTACATTACTCATACTCTCAAATAGAAAAACAGCTGATGCCAGCACCAACACAGCTCTGTATCTGTATTACGGCTGCATTATTTCATAGTTCTTAAGTTAAATCACTGTTAAACGCTTTAAAGAAAAGTTAACCGAATAGCAGACTAAAGTATTTTTCCAAATTTTCTTTAAAAAAATGGTTTGGTATAACTCCAAACAGTGCTGTTTATTTTATGAGCCAATATTTCTGACACTAAAGACTGAGGCATGGTCAGAAATACCCCCAGAGGAATTCTGAAGCGGATACTTCATTCTGTCACCCTAATAAATTGAAATAAGGTTGAAAAGAAAATTGTGAAGATCTGAAATAACAAGAGAAAAAGCTGGAAATCCATAGTACAGTATTTGA